GAGGGAGGCTGGCCGGCTGTGGATGTGCCTGTGAAATCCCTTTGTCCCTGCGGAGCGCTCAGCTGCAAATTCCCACAGAGAGGAGAGAGCTGCCTTTGTGCTGCTAAAGGGCTCCCAACATGTGAAACCCCTGGGCCGGGGGGCTGGGATGGGAGCTCAGCGCAGGGGCTGCAGGCCCCTGCCTTCCTGCTGTCCTTGGGCATGTGGGGGGCGTGCGGGAGGGGGGCCCTTAGGGTGATGTGCTGGGTGTTGCTGACAGGAAGGGGCTCCCTGGGCCCACCTTTCTGAGCCTACCTAAAGGTCTTACCCTGCCTGGGTGGGGCAGTGGCTTTGGAGTGTGGCAGCCCCCACCCTGTGGAGCACCCCCGGACAGCTGCCCTGGGGCTGGATTGCTGACATACCAACAGAACAAGCCTTGCTCTCTGTGGCCAGCCCTTTCTTTCTGTGGCCAGTCTCGTGCTGTTCCTTTCTCCTTCCCCGGGGGCAACCCTGATTTGCCTGTGTGTGCTGAGCCCAGCTCTTTGCTCCCTAGGGCAGCAGAAGCCACTGAACGTCTGCCCTGTTCCTGGTGGGGCCTGTCTCCTGCCAGAGGGTAGCCCACTGCATTTCCCAACCTCTTTGTCCAGGCTGGTCCTTGGAACTTGATCTGTATCGTGCATTCCTGCCCTTTTCTTTTGGGGGGGTGATAGTGGGGGTGTGTGCCACGTCTGCTTCCTCACTCCAGCCTGGTGTGCAGGCCCCACCCTGCTCTTATCTCTCCCCTCTTATCATCCTGCCTTGGCTGCTGGCCCTTTCCCTTATACGGCCTGCTATTGTGTCTGCTTGCATCCCTACAGGTAACTCCCTCTGCAAGGGAAGCTTTCCTAACAGGGACTGCAGCCCTTGTGGCAGTTAAGCGAGGCAGTCTGGGCTGCCATCCTGCTGCTGGTTGGACAAGCTGTGTGCTATGAGTATTGAGTGGCTCTCTTCATCTTGGCTGCTCCTCGTGTCGTGGTTCCTCCTTCCCCAACTCTTGCCAGGGCCTGGTGGTGTGGGCTGGGCTGCCCATGGGGCAGGGAGTGGCCCTGTCAGCACAAGTAGCTCCTGGGATGGTGACTGGGCTTCTTGCATGGGTAGCAGCCTGTCCAAAGTCCCTTCCGTGTCCTCTGCAACCTCCAGGCTGCTGGATAAGATCCGCTTTGGATGAGGCACTCCTCACGTGTGGGAGCTGTAGGTCAGCCATACTGCTTGCCTGTGCCTATTCTCAGGGTGGGCTATGGGCTACTATGGTTTTGGAAGTGCATCCAGAAGGTTGTGTTCTCCTGATAGTGATCCCCTTCCACGTGTTTGTGTTCAGCTCATGGCTTCTCTACCTCAAACAGTGCTGCCCTACTGCACCTTGACTGGCGTTGGTGCTTGCCTCCCTGTGCAGTGTGAGGGCTGCACGTGGCTCTCTGAGCCTGGGTGTGGAAAGAATCCAGAGATATTGGTTCATTTATTTTTTAGCTAATTGAGACTGACCGGGAGCCTGTGGTGAATTAGTAGGGATGTGAACCAGTGCAGAGCATCAAATGTAATGCACTGTGAGAGCTCAGGCAATTGCAGGCTTCAATTATTGATGGGGCTTCTGTTTTTACTAGGTACGTCGCAATAGGTAGATGGAACCTGGAGAGTTTGTTTCTTCCTCCCCAGAGAGGGCAGGGTCCTGGTACTGAGAGTTGTCTGTGTTCCCTGCCGAAGGGCAGGCAGCCAGCTGGCTCTGAGCCCCTCAAATGGATAGGGCAAGGCTAATTACTAGGGCAATGTTGCCATTTTTCTTGTCTAGTAGTTGAGGCAGCGTGCCTGGCAGGCCTGCCTGCCCTCAGCCTTGCTGTCCCTGCCACGTCTCCTCCAGCCCTGTGACCCAGCACTGGGCAAGGGACTGTCCTGCTGGAGGGGGAGGCAGCTCTGCTTCTGCCTGGAGCTGCAGGCAGCGTCATGTGATGAGAACAAACCTTGTCCTGTGGAACAGGTGTGTGAGGAGCGCCAACAGACAGGAAAGCTGCTGTGGGTGGGGAATGGCAGCCCCAGCTGCTGTGACGCTGTCTCCCTCTGTGCCGTAATGAGGGCTGTAGGTGCACCTCCTAGCAGGGAGTTGTGCAGGGCTGACATGGTGCAGGTGGCTTCTGGCTTTGCAGGTGCCTGGCTTGTGCTTTGCCCAAAAAATCCGCAGTGTTGAGGGAGTAGACTTAACTGCATCCATCCTGGAAGAGGGGGAACAGGTCCTTGTGAAAACCCAGCAGAGGGGCTTTATGCTTGAGTTGCTTTATGCACTGCAGCAGGTGGTGCTTGTCAAGCCTGCTATGTGTTATCTGTAGGATCTTGTCTGTGCTCTGCCCGTGGTGTCCTGTTCTGTCTGCCAGCTCAGGGTCAGTCTCCCTGGCCAACAGGAACCTTTGCTGGTGAGAAGCCCTCAAAGCTTGAACTCCCTCCTCCAGCAGAGTAGGATACAGGTGAACTCCATGTGGGTATGGCTGTGATTGGGCCCTCAGAGTTATTTTCACAGGTGAAGTATTTGGTCTTGGGGCAGGCAACCGTCCCAAGAGTTGGGAGCAGAAGCGTTTAGGAAGAATATCCAGAGTTCTTCCACTGCAATCTTCAGCGTTGTGCATCTCTGTTGAAGATTGATTTCAGGAGCTCAGAGTGCAGCACAGAGCTGGCCCAGCACTGGGAAGTGGGAAAACGAGGCCAGAAGGACCGGGATGTCAGGCTTTCTGGGTGCATGCATTGGTCCCTGGGGGCTGTGAGGTGAGTACTGTGGTGTTCCTTGTGCCCTGGGGTAGGAGCTGCTTGGGGATGTGCTTTGTCTTCAGGCTTTTTAGCTTTGCCCTGAATCAAGCTAGCTGAAATATTTTTGGCTTGCTGGGTTTTTTAAGTAATGGGTGTGTCAGAAAGTGCCTCTCATGATGAAAAGGCTTTCATGCGGCCGTCCTCAAAGATGGTCATGGTCTGGCTTTGGAAAAATGCTCTGTGTAGTTGTATCTTCAGAGGCGGGGCATGAGGAGGGGGAGATGGGTGCAAAGCAATCCCTGGAATTTCGTCCTTTGTTTTGTGGGATGCAGCTTACTCAGCTTGGAGCTGTCACAGGCAGCTTGCTTCCTCCTCTTCCCTCCTGCTCCATGTCTCAAACTGAAGATGGCTGTAGCCCTGAATTGCCGTGGGTAGCCAGCAAAGGGTTGTGCTGTGCCCAGGGAGCTGCTCCCCAAGATTGCGGTATGGGAGTCAGCAGGAAGTTGGCGGAAGGCAGAGATCTGGGGCTGACCCTCAGCAGCTGGGAAGGCGTGTGGCTGGGTTGCTGTTTGGGGTGTGTGAGTGGCAGCTGGTGGTGAGGAAGGGCTGTGCTGTAGCTTCTGCTGGGGTGGATGTTTGTGAGTGCAAGGGAGCAAGGAGAGTGGGCGAGGGACCAGTCCTGTGTTCCTTCCCCCGCTGCTGTGTGTTTACTCCCTGTGGAAGGGACAGGAAGGAAACAGCCTCATGGCTGCTCCAGCCCCTTATCTGGCTCCCTTAATGGCCCTTTGAGTTCCATTGTTAGCATCCACATTCTCTTGGCTGTGCACCCAGGGGATGTGTGGAGGTGGGGACATGGGCCTGAGTGGCATTGCTGGCTGTGTGGGGCCTTACCTTCCTGTAATGGCAAACTCCTCCGGTGTGGTTGCCTGAGGGAGGTTGTACTGTGCAGGAGCCCTTTTTTTGTCAGGGCTGTTTCTCCCTTTTAAAGAGCTTAGTGAGATGCTGTGCTGGAAATGAGTGCTCTTCCACCTGCCAGCGGTCATTATGGCTGGGATCTTAGGTACTCTGTATAGGCGTAGGGTGTCTGTGTGTGACATGACCTTCCCATGCTCCTGGGGAAGCCTAGGCACCTGCTGGCTGAGTCCCCTGGGACTGCAAGCACTGTCCTGCTACAGCCTCTGCAGCATGGCTGTAGGGTTGGGCCCTGCAGCCTTGTTCTGTGACTGAGGGAGCTGTCACTGAGATCCAGTGTGGTGGCCCTGGAGGCTGAGGAGCTGCATCCCCCATCAATTCAGATGGATGCCAACCATGGATGGAGGGGTGTTTGATTTGAGGCTGAGAGCTGAGTTCTTATGGGGCAGAGACAGGGAGGCAAGGTGATCTAGAGCCTCATCTCTGCTGGGCACTGCACATACACAGGTAGAAAAACTGAATTTTTTTATTGATGAAGGCATTACAGAACGGAGGCAACCAGATGTTGGGATATGCTGCAGGCAGCCTTTGAAGCACATGGAAAAAATCCAGCCTGCTTTGCTGGATTTGGTCACAGTGGTGCTGGGGGAGATGGGCTCCTCGGGTGTCTGTGGGAAGCTCTGGGGCAGGCAGAGCCACAGGAGGGATTTGGGCTCGCTGGCAGTGGGGGAGGCATTTCAGGAAGTGTTTAATCTAAATACTCTTGAGTTAATTCTTACTTATTTTCCACATTAAAAATGATGCAAAAAAAACCCAAACAAACGAAAGAACACCCACTCTACTCTTGGTGCCTCTGACCCACCATCTGCGTCAGACTGAAACTGGAGGGACTGGGCTGCCAGGGAGTGAGGGCCTGGAGGAGATAGGTACTGTGTAAGGGTGGTGGTGCCCATGTTCCTGGCCCTGGGTTGGTGCTGGGAGAGGCGGGCAAAGCTGCTGCTGTGCTGGAGACCGTGGGAAAGCAGTTCCTGCCTCGGCTGCCTGGCTCGAGCGAGTCCCCACATGCCTGCAGTGACTGTATGGGTTTGGGAAAACCTCTTGTGGGCCTGCCGGGGCTTGGCTGGGGAGGTGGAGGGCCAGGCCCATGGTGTTCCTCGTCAGCGGGGAGCTGTTTGAGGGGCTGCAGTATCTGAGGGAGCTGTCGCAGAGATGGTGCAAGCCTGCAGCTGACCCAACTCCATCCTTCAGAAGGAGAGGAGACCCTCAGCCTGTGTTCCCTTCCCTGCCTTCTGATTTAAGTTTGCTCGTGGTTTGACCCCGTTCTCCTGCTGTCCCTGCAGCTCTCTTCCTCCTGCTTCCTCCCTGTGGTGGCTGGGCTATTTCTCCCATGACTCTCTACGTCTAGACCTGGCTGTCCGTGCCTTTGCCAATCACACCCGAGCTTCCTCCTCTAACAGGTCTGTATGGAAGAAAATGATTTCTCTGTCAAAATGTGTTCATTGTGATGTGCTATTTCACTGTTTTCCTTTGGGAGGGGATGTTGATGGGTCTCAGCCAATGCCCATCCCATATCAGTGGGCTGAGGACCTCCTAGGATGGCCGCAGGTCTGGGAACCCTGATGAGGACCTGAGGGTGGTGGTGGAGTGGCAGCTCTCAGAGGGGTTTGTGCAGCCCCCTCCTGGGGGTCCTGTCCCACTCTGCTCCTTTTTGTGGATTGGAAGGAGCTGTGAATGTCTTGTTATTGTTTTTCCCCTGTTCTGAAAATCTGTCATAATGAAATCAGTCTCTTCTGACCTTTTTTTTTCTCTCCTCCTTTCCTCCCTCAAATCATGCGCAGTGAAGAGCGGGGCTCCTCCCCTTCTGGGTCACTTTTCCTCCTCTCACCTTGACACCAAGCCAACTCTGCTTGTGCCTCCCTGTGCCCTTCGCCCCTTCCCCGCCCGTCCTGGGTAACCGTCACCCATGGACGACTCGGAAGTGGAGTCAACCGCCAGCATCCTTGCCTCTGTCAAGGAGCAGGAGGCGCAGTTTGAGAAGCTGACACGGGCGCTGGAGGAGGAGCGGCGCCATGTCTCAGCCCAGCTGGAAAGAGTGCGGGTCTCCCCACAGGACGCCGGCCCGGGCTTGGCCAACGGCACACTCTCCCGGCGGCACCAGGTAAAAAAGGCAGAGGTGGGCACGGAGGCTCCCGGAGCCCCTGTCCCTGTCAGTTCCGTCTCAGTGGGGATGGCCCTGGGCCTGGCTCCCTCTGGCCTTCCTTGGAGATGAGGTAGAAGAGGGCTATGCTGGTTTCATAATGCTGGCAGTGTTGTATGTGGCCGGGGCTGATGTTTGCACATCCTCAGCTCACCTATCTGGGTCTTTCTGGACAGAAGGTATTGGCCTGGAGGGTCTTGCTGCCACGTCAGCTCTGGTTTTGTTCTTCCGTGAGCAGTTAAGGTTGGCTTTGTTCAGTACCTGGATATCCCTGCATGTTCCACCTGGCTTGTCAGAAGATGGAACATGAGTTGGTGTATTAGCTGTGAGGGTGTGTCTTTGTCTCCTCTCATGTGGCAATGGGCACATTGCTGGCATCTTGGTTTATCCCTGGAGTAGCCAAGCCAGGACTGTGAGAGATCTCTACAGGGCTTGAAGTGTGGTTTAAAATGCCTTGGCTCAAGGTCTCTGTCCTGCTCTCGCTTTCCTGGGCTGTTCTGGGGAGGGTGTCCTCAGGGCTGGCGGCACAGTGTCATGTAAAAGGCACCCACCTTTCTGACTGTGTGAAAGTTGGTGCTGCCAGGAGAAATGTGGGATAGGAAAGGGCAACTGGAGGGACAGTGTGAGCAGATGAAGCTGCAACACCCAGCAGTCAGCTCCCTTGCAATCCTTGTTAGCCTCAGGGCTTGTAGCTCCTGCTTCAGGAGATAGGAAAGGTCTCCAGGGCAACTGGGGAGAGTTGGGAGGCTTTTGGCTACTCCATATGGGTATTTGAGTGAGATGCAAGTAGTGTGGGGGAGGTAGGCTTAGTGCCATGTCCTGTAACTTCTCTCAGCTCGATTGGGCTGGATGCTGGATTTCTGTGTGCTACACAGAGCTGAGGAGTGATGTATGGCATGTGCTATGGCTGTCGGAGCCAGCTTGGGACCTGGGGCTGGCAGGAAAGTGGGGATAGCTGCAATCCAGGCAGGACAGGGGAGTGGTTGGGTAACAGGCCTGCAATGGTGATATGCATTTCAGAACGGCCGTTTCTTGGGTGATGCTGACCTGGAAAGACAGAAGTTCCCAGATCTGAAGCTCAACGGACCACAGGTGAGAGGAATGAAGCTGTGGGCAGCCTCCTTGCTGGATGGGGTTGTGGGGAGACCTAGCTGGCTGAGGGGAACTTGTGTTTCTAATGTGACCACCTTGGCTGAGAGGACTCGGGGCATGTTTGGTGAGTACACCCTCTTGTGCAAGGGGATATTGGGGCTCCTTGGGGTGTAAGATCTCCTCTTCTGGCTCTGTGTCAGTTGTGCTGATGACTTTGTGTTCCTGCTCCTCCCAGGACCACAGCCACCTCTTGTACAGCACAATTCCCAGAATGCAGGACCCGGGCCAAATCGTAGAGGAGACGTACACCATGGAGGAGGACCCAGAAGGGGCCATGTCTGTTGTGTCTGTGGAGACATCAGATGATGGGACAACCCGACGCACAGAGACCACGGTATGTGCCTGGGGAGGGAGGGAGTAGATGGATTGGATGCCAGCTAGGGACTCAGTGGTCGGTGTCACAGCTGTGATCGTTGCCAGCTCATTGTTTATGTGAAACCTGCCTGGAGTGAGGTGCTGGACTGAAAGGGGCCTCAGAGGTCACAGGGCTGTGGGGTGAGACAGTTTCCTGATGAGAATATACCCTATGTCCATCTCTCTAGGTGAAGAAAGTGGTGAAGACTGTGACCACCCGAACAGTGCAGCAGGTCCCCATGGGGCCTGACGGGTTACCCTTGGAAACTTCACCTGTCACAAGCAACTACGTCCAGACGATGGACAGGAACTTCCGCAAGAATGGCAACGGTGGCCCTGGCGGCTACCTGAACCACCCAGGCACGGCCACGCTTCCTCGCAACTACCATTACCCTGATGGCTATGGCCGCCCCTATGACGACAGCTACCCGGGCAGCGATCACAGCTATGGCAGCCTGTCCCGTGTCACCCGCATTGATGAGCGCTATCGCCCATCTATGGACGCTTACCGGGCCCCCAGCCGCCAGGACATCTATGGCCCTCAACCTCAAGTACGTGTTGGGGGCAGTAACATGGACCTCAACCACTTCCACCCTGAGCCATATGGCCTGGAAGATGACCAGCGCAGTGTGGGCTTTGATGATGTGGACTACGGGCTTATGTCTGACTATGGCACAGCCAGGAGAGCAGGGACACCATCTGATGCTCGACGTCGGCTCAGGTATTGGGGTATTGAGTGCTTGGCAGCACACGCTGGGGGCAGAGAGTTGTGCTAAGGTTCCTTCAACTCATTCTTTTCAAAGGAACCATAGAATCACTTATGTTAGAAAAGACCCACGAGATTAAGTCCAGCCTTGCTGTAACAAGATGTAACATAATAGGTAACTGAGCATAATTTGAGTTGTACTGCTTTAAAATTCTTCATGTTCTCTGCAGCAGCTTATACCCTCAAGTCCTTCAGGTGTTCACTGCAGTGCGAATAGAAGGAGGGACAGCACCACAAGCTGAGTCAGGCGTGGCTCGTGCAGGAGAAATCTTGTATCTGTTTCAAATTAATTGTGTGCTTAATTGGTGGTTAATACTCAGTGCTAATTGACAGTTGTCCTGCAGCGAGGAGTTCCGTGAGGTGGCTGGACATGGCTCTGGGCTTTTTCCTCTGCACTACCTGTTCTATTAGCATGGTGAGAAAGATCCAGCTGCTCTGTCACTGGCTGAGGTTGGGTGCTGCAGTATTCATCCTATGCCCCAGTCTGGTTTATCTGCTGGGAAATGTGCCTGATGTCTGCTGGAAGCAGCAGCAACCTCACCATTGCATTCTTGCCAAGCTGAGAGTGGCATGCAGCCCTGAAGGAGTTGTGCTGAGCCTGGGGCTGAAGCAAACAAGGCTTAGCACTGCAGTGCCCTAGGGAATGCTCTTGCAGGGTGGGACAGGCTGCTCGACCTGTTTGACAGTTGCAGCTTCTCCCCTTCATTCTGCTATGGGTGATCAGCAGCTCTTCCAGCCTGACTCCTGTGTAGCTGCCTTGGACAAGTAGAAAGAGGGATTGGGTGGTCCTTAACTACCTTCCAAGATGCTTGCAGGCATCTTGGAATGTTACCTGCTGGAGGCTATGGCTGCCAAGGACAGCTATCTTGCACAGTTCACTCATACTAGTGAACGTGGCTGCTGGCTGGCTAAACCTCTCAGCTTGCTCTACTTGCTGTTTGTGCTGCCAAGTGGAGATTGAGGAGGTGCTGGAGTGAATTTGAACAGTACTGAGATAGGACTGGAGTGAGAAGCTGAGCCTGAACCCTAGCAATGGGGAGGAGTTGCTGGTGGGCTGGAATGTACATCCATTCCTGCTATGGGGATAGTCAGAGGGCTGACAACAGGCTCCTTAGGTTCCTAGGACAAGTAGCAGAGGCTTGAGAGGAAGGGAAGAGGAGGTATTTGCCAGCCCCTGTCAGAGATCCACCCATTTCTCAGGGTGCATCCTGTAAATCCCCAGTAGCTCTTGGCTGCTGCAGAGACTGAAGGAGGAGCTTTGTCCTTCTGTCTTGTGCCAGCACGAGCGTTTCTGTTGCTGTGTTGAACCAGTTGGGGCAGTTGTTCTCCCAGATTGATTTCCCCAGCCTTGTTGTGAAGTGTGTGCTGGTTAAAGGAGAGCCGGTGAGGCTGACTTGAGAAGGCTGTGAGAAGCCAGCTTTGGCAGTCCTGAGCCCCCATCTGGCCTCTCAGCATGCCCCTTGGACAAAAGGGGTGAGGCAGAGTCCAGAAGACAGGGCATGTGTGCAGCCCTTTCCTACGGCCCCATGAGCAGGCTCTCCCTCCCCGTGCAGGCCGATAAAGATCACAGCAATCTGTGGAATCCAGGCACTGTTGAGCTTGGCTTGTCCCCTGCCTTCTCAGTTACCATCTTGCTCAGCTGACTGGCTCACCGAGATGGCAACAAGCAAGAGCAGCATCCCACCCCCTGCCTCCAAGATGTTTGTCTTGAGCAGGGGCCTGGTGTTTAATGACTTCTTTCAGAGAGGCAGCTTGCCAGGCACGTGGGGGACAAGGGAGCGTGTTAGGCAGAGAGTGTGGTGTGTGTGCTAGCGGTATGTGGCCTTGTACCCTCTGCATGACTCTGCTTGGAACTCCCTGCCTGCAGGAAGGCTCAGCAGCGGCACAGGAGTGCTTTCCTTGCCTTCCCCTGCCTTTGCTGCTCCATCCCATACCCCTTCTGGGATGCTGAAGGCATCTTACAGGGGTGAGGGCAGCTGCAGGCTGTGCTGGAAAGAGTTGAGATGTCTCTTGCAGTGTTGGCATTGGGCAGCTGTCTTGCTCCTGTTTTGTTCTGCTGCAAAGGCATTGTTGGTGGCCAAGGTGATGTTCTCAGTTGCCAGACTGAGCAGCATTCTTTGGTTGCCAGCCCTTGTGACTTTGTGCCCCTGGAGCTTCTGGTTTTGGCAAGTTCTATTTAGGGGAGATTGTGTAGGGAGCAGAACTGCTCACTGTCCTTTCTTGCATCTTTATGTACCCACTCAGTCAGTGACGGGGATCCTTCCTATGTCAGATTTAGGAGCTTTAGAAGTAGGATCTAAAAGTGGCTGAGCAGATGTGAGCCGGGGGACACAGCCTCATCTTGGACCTGGGTTGTGCAGCCACAGTGTGTAACACGATAGTCCCAATGGATGTAGCAGTCAGTAATACAACCCCCTGCTCCTGTCCCTTTCTGTTGGAGACTGCCAAATTCCTTTGCCCAGGTGGAGGGAAGATTCTGTTTGCCACGGAGGCTTAACAGTGACCTAAAAATAGGGTTGGAATCAGGGATTCTGTATGCTTTGGGTGTGTGTGCACTACTGTCAGATACAGGACTTGCTTGTACCAAGACTGGGCGTGGAGGGCTGGGGAACTTCTGTGTGGTTTGCACTCACCAGCAGTATGTTGTGGGATGAACTTGCCCTCTAGTGGCCATGGGCCTGAGTAGTTGTTGGTGCTGTTACATGGGCTGGCTCAGCCTAAGGGCTGGGCCTTGCCACTATAAAAGTTATGCAGAGAGCGGCGCTCTGTCTGACCCAGAAGAGATCTGTTGGGTGGGAAGTGGCCCTACTTGCTACTGAGGCTGCCCAGTCCATTTTGGAGATGCCTGAGGCTGGCCTCCAGGCTCCCGCTGGGCCTTGTGTAGCTCTGTGGGGAGAAGGAAGATACCACAGTGCTGCTCTGCAGCCTGGCTCCTTCCCTTTGAGGGTATGCTGCAGCAAGTAGTGGTGATTGCGTACTGTGCGTGTTTTTCTCCATCCTCTACTGAATTGGACAGGGTGTAGGGCTCACACTGATGCTTGCTGTCTCCTAGGAGTTACGAAGACATGCTGGTGGATGAAGTGGCTCCCGACCGGTACTACTGGGCCCCCCTGGCTCAGCATGAGCGGGGCAGCTTGGCCAGCCTGGACAGCCTGCGGAAAGGAGCACCGGCTCCGGGCAACTGGCGTCAGCCAGAGCTGCCAGAGGTGATAGCGATGCTGAGCTTCCGCCTGGATGCTGTCAAGTCCAATGCAGCTGCTTACCTGCAGCACCTGTGTTACCGTAATGACAAGGTGAAGACAGAGGTGCGCAAGCTGAAAGGCATTCCAGTGCTGGTGGGGTTGTTGGACCACCCCAAGAAAGAGGTGCATTATGGTGCCTGTGGGGCTCTCAAGAACATCTCCTTCGGCAAGGACCAAGACAACAAGATTGCCATCAAGAACTGTGACGGGGTGCCTGCTTTGGTGCGCCTGTTACGGAAGACCCATGATATGGACCTTACAGAGGTCATCACAGGTAACGGCTCCAGGGAGGTGAGGAGGTGCTAACCTGTTGGGTGAGATGTGGGGTGCAGGTGTTTAAAGCCCACGTGCCCTGACCAAGCGTGTGTGGCTTTGCAGGAACACTGTGGAACCTGTCTTCACATGACTCCATCAAGATGGCCATTGTGGATCATGCACTGCATGCCCTGACTGACGAGGTCATCATCCCCCGCTCAGGCTGGGAGCGAGAACCCAACGAGGACTCAAAACCCCGCCACATTGAGTGGGAATCAGTACTCACCAACACTGCTGGCTGCCTTAGGTAAGGGAGAAGGGTTACAAACAGATGGCAGAGAGCTGTAGTGTGCTGGGGCTGCTGTAACACTCCATGCTGGAGTGGGAAAGGACTGCTTTGCTGGCTGTGAAGAAGCAGCTCCTGGGACAGCCACTGTTGACGATGTGGTGATGCTTCTTGGCACTGGAGGAGTTTCTTTGTCAAGAGAAGCCAGAGAAGAGTCTCCCTTTGATTTTGAGCTCTTTTGGGTGTGGACTGCTCCTTGCTTGCCCTCAGCTGTCTCCCCCATGCTGTATTTCTCTTGATTGACAGGAATGTGAGCTCAGAGCGGAGTGAAGCCCGTCGGAAGCTGCGAGAATGTGATGGGTTGGTGGATGCCCTGATATACATCATCCAGTCTGAGATTGGCCAAAAGGACTCAGATAGCAAGGTACTACAGAGGGGATGCTACCTGGGCCAGCAGAGTTGGGAAGGATGCACAGTGCTCTGCTATTTATGGATTGTTCCTGGGTTCATTCTGATAAGGGCAAAAGATGGAGGGGAATCAAGGAATTTGAGCTGACAGGGCTATTTGAGGAACACCTAAACCAGGCACCTGCCTTTCCATACTTGGGAGGAGAGCCTCCGTGGGGTATGATTCATGTACTGTGTGACCAGATGTTGGGCTCTCAGCCAGCAGTTGGCAGTAGGAGTACTTGACCCTACAGTTGGGCTGTGACTAAGTTAGTGACTGCAGCTTTTGCCCAGAGATGTGGACTGGGCACGTGCTGCTCTGAGTAGAACTGTCTGGCTTTCTGTAGCTGGTGGAGAATTGTGTGTGCCTGCTGAGAAACTTGTCTTACCAAGTCCATCGTGAGATCCCCCATGCTGAGCGCTACCAGGAGACTCCTCTGGTCACCACCAACAATGCTGGGCCCCATGCTGCAAGCTGCTTTGGTGCCAAGAAGGGCAAAGGTTCGTTGGCTTGTGACATAAAGGCACACTTGCTTCAGTGGGGCTTGAGGGTGGTCTGGGATCTTTGTGATTCGTTCTCTCATCTCTCGTGTGAAGGCTAAATTGTGGCTTTCTCTGGAAACACGGTGGCTTGTGCCTTCCTTTGCTTTGGGAAGTTACTGCGTGACTCATTCAAAGCGTTTGACACGAGCTAACGGTGCCCTGGTGGGTTTCTGTGGTGATGGGATGGTGGTGGATGGACAACCACTAACTTCACATCTTCCCTTTTCTTATGTGTTGTCCTTTCCCCCTCCCTTTGCTTTCTTGCCAAACGATCTGCCCCATGATGCTGTTGGCACTTCTCTCCTCCTGCCTCCCCTCTCTCCTGTCCTCCTCTCCGCTTCGCCAATAGACGAATGGTTCTCCAGAGGTGAGTGTGCTCTTGATTTTAATTTTTCCCTGGTGAAAATGACTGGGTGCCTTCCTGAGCTCTTTGTTCCCCTGCAGCTGGCCTTGTGCTGCCTGCGATGTGACTAATGTCCTTGGTGGCATGTAGCTTCTGCTCACCTCTGGGCTTGTTCTTGTAGCAAGTGGCAAAAAGCTGCTGGGCTGATGTGGAAAATGAGGTGTCTTATGCCTCTGTGCTTGCTTTTTAAAGGTAAAAAGCTTCCGGAAGACCCTGGTGCAGATACAGTGGATTTTCCCAAAAGAACAACTCCAGCCAAAGGTATGTTGTCTAGTGTGTTCAGGACTCGAATGCATGGGGCTGCCTTCCCACAAGCAGTTTGGGAAGGGGTGGCGTTGATAGATTTTCTTTCTCCCCACTGAAAAGAGCCTCCTAAATGGGCAGAGGTTTGTCTTGAAAGTAGTTTGTGGTTGTGCAGGCTCACAAGCTGTGCTGCAGGCAGCCCTGAGGAGGCCTGCTGGTCTTGGTGGATGTGAGTGCTACCTCAGGACAGGCTTGCTGCACCTGTGGAGGGAGCTGTTGCCCTCGGAGCTGAGGGAGGGTGTGGTGGCACAGCTCTGCAAAGAGGCCCCCTCTGCTGGGGGTTTATATTTGTCAGTGTCCTGCCTGCTCTTCTCTCCTGGGCATGAAGGATGGGCAGGATTTTAAACTAAAATGCCCTGCCTAGAGGAGTGTTCTGCAGTGTGAACATGGAGAAGGGTCACTCCAAGTGACCTTACCTAATAATAAGGCAACCTTGAGGGCGGCAAATCACAGCCCTTCTATGGTCAGCTGAGCAGCAGCTATTGGCCGTGGGCTTTAGTTCAGCTACTTCTGCCTTGAAACACTGTATTCTGAAGTCTGAAATTGATGTCTGAGCTGATTACCTGGGGTTTCTGCTGTTAAGGGACAACCTGTCTTGCTGTGTATCAAAGAGCAGACAGTGCCTAGCAGTACTCCTTTGTACAAGTCTGTTGCTTGGTCTTGGGTACTCACAGAAATTATGAGTAAGTTCTTCCTCTCTGTGCCTCTCTGGCAGGCTACGAGCTCCTCTTCCAGCCAGAAGTGGTCCGGATATACATCTCCCTGTTAAAGGAAAGCAAGACTCCACCCATCCTAGAGGCTTCAGCAGGAGCAATTCAGAATCTGTGTGCTGGCAGTTGGACAGTGAGTGCCTTGTAGAGCTGGACGTGTTGATGCTCATCAGTGTTTAAGGGAAGGGGAATTTGGGGCACGTCACTTTTTGGTGTCAACAGAGCTGTGAAGTGTCAAAGCTCTGGCATTCCAGGCTGTTGCACTTCATGTAACTTGCTCTGAAGAAGGCATAATTCAGCAGCACAGCTCAAATGTGGACCAGATCTCTCCTGTGCTGTTAAGGGTTCTCTGCCCTTTGCCATATGTTTCTTCCCAAGGGCTACCTGTGTCTCTTTCTGCAGCCTGTTCCCTGCCACTTCTTCCCTTCTGCAGTCTGGAAGAAAGGAGTGTAGATTTGGGCCCACTCTGTGGTCCTACCGTGCCTTTGCTCTGTGTTCTTTGTGTATATATAGAAAGATCGAACAAAAGCATGCTTAACTGGCAGGGAGGGCTTTGACACCTGTAAATCAGCCCTCTCCCATTCACAGGCGTTGCCTGGGGTTACTTGGAGATGGGTGTGGGACCTTCATAGCACCTCTCCCTACGGGTGAACCCGGGGCCCTTGGTTTCTGAGGTGGGTGGGTGTTAAAGCTCCCAGCAGTGCCCCCGTGCTCAGGAGCCGTGTGAAGCTTTGCCTCCCTGGGTTTCCACCGTGGCATTCTGCTCTCCCTGCAGTACGGCCGCTACATCCGCTCAGCACTCCGCCAAGAGAAGGGACTCTCAGCCATTGCTGACCTCCTGACCCATGACAGTGAGCGTGTGGTGAAAGCAGCGTCTGGAGCCCTCCGCAACCTGGCTGTTGACTTACGTAACAAAGAGCTGATAGGTGAGAGCTGCGGGCACGCTTCACGTCTGTTTGGCTTAAAACTTCCTCTAGGCTGGGTGGCTGAGGCTATGCGTGGGCACAGTGGCTGCCCAGGGGCTTTCTGCTGTCCATTTCACAGATAAACATATACTGGGCTCCTTGGGAGATGCATTAGAGTTGGTGACCTATCTCTGATCTTTCAGTAGTGCCTTTTTTTCTTTTAGTCACTGTCCTCCTTGCTCGCTCACGCCCAACTGTTTGCCCTTATTAGGTAAACATGCCATCCCCAACCTAGTGAAGAACCTGCCTGGAGGCCAGCAGACTCCAGCCAAAAACCTCTCTGAGGATACAGTGGTGTCCATCCTCAATACCATCAACGAAGTCATTGTAGACAACCTGGAGGCTGCCAAGAAGTTGCGGGAAACGCAGGGGATTGAGAAGTTGGTGCTCATCAACAAAACTGGGTAGGCTCTGCTTGAAGGGCAGTGCAGGGGTGGAGAGCAGCTTTTCCCATGGTGGCTTTGAGGCTGTGGATATTGCCAGACATCTTTTCCTTCACTGCTTTCTAGGAACCGCTCAGAGAGAGAAGTGCGAGCAGCTGCCCTCGTCTTGCAGACAATCTGGGGATATAAAGAGCTGCGGAAGCCCCTGGAGAAGGAAGGCTGGAAGAAGTCAGATTTCCAGGTATAGGGAGTGGTGGAGCAGTATCCTGTTCTGGCTTGGGTCCTGCTGCAGGGAGGAAGTGCTCCAGGAACTCAGCAGTGTTTGATTTCAGCTTTTTTCTTGCTCCTGTCGCTAGAGACCCTTGAAGGTGTCCCCTCTGCCACTTCTTAGTGGGTGGATGGCAGTGGAGCAGAAACACTCCGCAAAGTATTAAGCCTTGAACATCAAATCTACCAGCAGGGAGAGTCTGCAGCACTAAAGCCATTGTGTGTGTGGCGGGGGGGGGGGGGGGGGGGGGGAAACGGTCTTCTGGTATTTGCTTTCCCTCCTAAAAGCTGCAGCTGCCTCTTCAAGGCTGGGTGCTGCCCTGACCCAGCCTAGGTAGACTGCCTCCATCCTTGTTTGTGGGTACACCCCCAGGGGCTTTGGAGCACCTTCAGGTCCTTTGCTCAAGGACTGTGGGAGAGAAGCACTGCTGGGGCTGCCAGGGCCGGAGGGTTGCTATGTGCTTAGTGTATGGAGTATGAGTGGTTGTTTTCTGGTGCTCCAGGTGAACCTTAGCAATGCCTCTCGGACACAAGGAGGAAACTCATTTGATGACAGCACCTTGCCTCTCATTGACAGGAACCAAAAAACAGGTATGTGCCCTCCCTCCTGCTGGCACTTGTCTCCATGTTGACTGCCTTGTGGGTACCCGTGTTCCCTCTGTACTTTTCACCCCCAGCTTCCTTGGGTTCTCCAGGGGTTCGTGCAAAACCATCAGCTGGGGGGTTTATTTTTCTTTTTCTCAGAGCTTATGTAGAGTTTACAGTACTATAGTATCCTTGGGCCAACAGTGCTGAGGCTGGAGCTCCATCTGGCCTTATCCAGCAGTGATTACATTGCTGCTTGTGGCTGCAGAGGCTATGCCTGATCTGTTTTCTCATCCTTCTAGACAAGAAATCCTCCCGGGAGGAGATCCAGATGAGCAACATGGGACCAGGTAGGAAAAGGACTGGAGGAAGGGCATCTACTCTGATGTGCTGGGAACGCCTTGCCTCCTATGGAGAGGATGCTGCCTCACAAAAAGGTGGTGCAACTGATGGTCTCGTGTCTTCCTCCAGACAACTATTCCACACTTAACGAGGTGGACCACAGCAGGACACTGGACCGACCTGGTGATCTTGGAGACACGGAGCCAGTGAAGGCAGCACCGTTGATGGTGAGCAGCCTTTCTTAATGAAGCTGGAGTGGGCAGAGGTGCAGGGAATGGCACTGGGAAAACTGGGCTCCTGTGACTAACCCCCGCCTGCTCCTTCGCCCCTACTAACCCTGTATGTCTGCAGCAGGAGGAGGGGCAGGAATCCCAGCCTGAGGCAGAGGAAGATCCTGCTGAGTTTTCCTCTGTGTCGGTATGTCCTGCAGCGCCCTGTCCAATCTGAGTAACGGTGGCAAATCCTGCTGTGCTGTTAGGGGTGCTTTGGGCAGCCAAATCGCGCTCTGATCGCTGCAGTCTACAATCACTGTCTGATCTTGATCCACAGGGGCTGTAAACACACCTTCACTGATTGTTCCTGCTCCGGATGTGCTAACGTTTCTCCCCTCTCTCTCCACAGCAGAAGATCTAGCTGCTACCCCTGCCTCCGCTCAGTTTGGTTGATAATATATTTTATATATATAAATATATATAACTCTTCGTGGTGGAATGGACCGAATTTTTTTCAACTTTTTTTTTTTTTTTGCTGGACTGTTTGTGCCAACTAGCCAGCCAAATGACTGGGCCTGGTCCCACAGGAGGCAGCCCAGGCTGCTCTGCCTCCTCTCGGTGGCTGCATCTCCCTGTTCTGGGACAGCTATCAATAACTCTTCCTCCCTGTCCTCCACCACTTCCCTTCCTTCAGAGAGGAGGCCCTCCTGCCTGACTGCCTGCGCCAACCAGCAAGGATGCTGCAAAACAATTCCAGACCTCTGCCTTGACCAGGAACTGCCTTCTCTGCCTCACCTTCCTTCTGCTTGGAGTCTACTGTGGGGACAGCGACCAAGACCTTACTTGCCACCTTCCTTTGTTGCCTATAGGATATTTTTCTGTGTGTGGGATCACTCTTGTGCTGAGGCTGCAGGGACAAGAGCATCCCTCCCTGGCAGCAGCAGGACTGGGATGCGAAGGAGGCTAGAATCACGGGGGTGTTGGTGGAAAGGAGAAGCAGCAGTAACTCTTCTTGCTTTGCTCTAGATGAGGCTTTGGGGGTGTGGGAAGAGGGATCTATCCTAGCTTTGACTGTTTGGCCTGGCTCTGGATCCTGCTGCGGGGAACAGGGGTCTGGATGGGGCAATTGAAAAGAGGAGGGATCCTTATGTAGGGGAAGGGTCTGTGTGGTGCGTGTGGGGCAGGCCTCTGCCCTGGGGGTGATCTTTCCCTGGGGAAGGAGTAGGGTAGGAGGAGTAGCAGCAGGGCTTTCGGGGCCGGATTTCTTTGGGAACTGGCTGAAGTAGCGGTGGGTCTGCGAGGGCGTGCGCAGCAGGTAGGGCCTGGATCCCAGCCACCCCCATACATCAGCTGCCTGTGGCAGTGCTCCCTCAGACTTCTCTTGACATGTGCCTTTCTTTTGCCACTGTGAAATAGCTCTTTGAATTGTACTGTTTGGCTTCGCTAGGGGAAGCGGTGTTCCAGGCTGCTGGTGGGGCTGAGCTGGAAGCCCAGCAGGGAGGATCCCAGCCCTGCTGCCTTTGGCTGCCACTGCTGAATAGGGAGCAGGGCTCTCCCCTCTCTCCTGTCCTGGGGAGCCCAGGCTGTCCTGGGAGCATCTCTGTGGTGGTGGGGGTGTGTTTGGTGCTGTGATATTCTGGGTGAATAGGGGGAGGCTTAGGCTCACTGTGCAACTGGAAGCCTCTTTGCAAGGCTGCAAACTGGAGATGGAGCCCTCCCCAGTACGCACACTTGTGCCTCGCTCTTCCAGCTCCAGCCACACCTCAGCTCCGTTTGGTTTTGTTCTGGGGGTCTAACTTCTCTTTTTCCTTTAAATATGTAAAACACTAATTCCTTTTAATTTTTTAATTCCAGATGAACCAAAAAAAAAAAAACAACAAAAAAAAACAAACCACAAAACCAAGCTTCCCCCTTCCCTCCTCTCCTGTGCAGGGCAGGGGAGCTGGCTGCAGGGTGAGGGTGGAGGGGGCAGGAGCACCCCACTGTTCCTTGTCTGATTCCTGTGCACACTCTTGTAACGCTTTTCAAACAAAATGATTTTTTTATATAAATAAAGTTTTTAAAGTGTGTCCTTCTGTTGGTGTGTGTTGGAGGTGAGGCTGCCACCTTTCTTTCTTAGCTTTACAGCTCAGGCTGTCCTACTCAGCTGGACATCAGCCACTGCGGTTGGTGTCTGCTGAAAGACAGTAATGGGAGGAGCTGAAGCACTGCGTAGCCCCAGAGTACAGCTTTCTCCTGCTGTGCCTCTTCCTGCATTTCAGCTCTACACAATCTAGCACATAGTTGGCTTATATTTATTTGCACAACTTGAGAAATAGAAATTTCTTCTTAAGCAATTTTTTTAAACTGGCAACGACAGTGTAAGAGAAGTGGCTGAGGGAAGCCTGCTCAAGTGAAAGCTGGGGTTTTGTGGGTGTAAGGGCAGGACTGTCGCGTACGAAAGGAACAATGCTGTGGTTGTGGAGGGGTGGGACAAGAAGCAGTGTTTGCTTCAGCTGGGGCAGCGCTGGGGATGCTGAGAGGGGTACAATCCTAGGGATCTTTGGCTCCGCAGGGGCAATGCTCTTGGTGCTGATGACAGGGAAGCCAAGCAAAGCAGCTCCTAGAAGCACAGAACTTGGAGCTCAAAGGAAGAGCTTGTCGTGGCAGGCCTGGCAGTACATCTTGTCCCCGTGCTCACGGAAGGTGCCTTTGTGCAGCTGGCTCAGGCAGTAGGCGCAGATGAAGTGCTCGGGGTGGTACTTGCGCCCGGCGGCTGTGATGCAGCGGCCGGTGATGGGGTGCCCACAGCCGTGGCACACGCTGCCCTGCCGCTGGTGGAAGTGCAGCTCGCAGTAGGGCCGGCCCTCCAGTTCGAAGAAGGAGCCGTTGGTGAAGCTGCTCAAGCAGTCCTGTGGGGGAGAGAGCCTTTAAGGTTGGTAAAGACCTCTAAAATCGCCTAGTCCTGCTGCCGCCTCATTCCCACTATGCATACTCAGGCATGTCCCTCAGTGCCATATCCACATGCTTCTTGAACATCTCTAGCGATGGTGACTCCATCACCTCTCTGGGCTGCCTGTGCCACTGCATCACCACTTTCTTGAGAATAAATTTTGCCTAATAGCCAGCTTGAACCTTCCCTAGTGCAACTTGAGGCTATTCCCCCTCATCCTTTCAATGTTATCCGAGAAAAGAGACCAACCCCTCTCTCCTCACTACCTCTCTTCAGGTCAATGTAGAGAGCAATAAAGTCTCCCCTGAGCCTCCTCCAGTCTGAACCACCACAGCTCCCTCAGCCATGCCCCATCAGAGCTGTGCTCCAGACCCCTCACAGCATCACTGTCCTTCTCTGGACATGCTCTGTGTCCTTCTTCTGGTAAGGGGCCCCAAACTGACCACAGCACTGGAGGTGCAGCCCCACCAGAGCCAAGTACAGGGCGAGGATCAGCTCCCTGCTCCTGCTGGCTGTGCTGTTGCTGATACAAGCCAGGATCCTGATGGCCACCTGGGCACGCTGCTGGCTTGCATTCAGCCATCTCTCAGCCAAGTAGTTAAAGGGAGAAGGCTGGCATGACTTTGAGGATGCACCTGCCCTGCATCCCTCTGTCCTGCTGCCCACTCACCGCACAGACGAAGCACTCGGGATGCCAGACACCCTGCAGGGCCGACAGGTAGTTATCCGTCAGCGGCCGCTCACAGCCCTGGCACTTGGGGGCAAAGAGGACCACGAAGTCCTGGAAGCAGTAGGGTTTCCCACCACGCTCATGGAACCCTGCGAAGAAGGCAGTGGGATGGACTAAAGAAGGACTGAGATAGAGAGATGCAGGTGCCAGACAGGGTGATGGGGTGGGGAGCAGGGGGATGTCCCCTCGATACAAACCATCATCTCCAAACACCTTCCCGCAGTGGGCGCAGAAGAAGTGCTCGGGGTGCCAGGTCTGGTCCATGGCGGTGAGGACTTTCTGTGGGCACAGGAGAGGTGAAGCGCTGGGTACCGGGGTGCAGAGGTGGGCAGGGCCGTGCTTACCTCGCGGATGGGTCCAGCGCAGTAGGCGCAGCGTGGGGAGAAGGCCTGGTGGTAGTCCTCCTCGCAGTACGCCTGCCCCCCACGCTCAAAGAAGGGCCTCCCGCCCAGCTCCTGCCCACAACAGGCACAGGTGAAGTGCTCGGGGTGCCAGGTTTCGCCTAGGGCCGTGAACATCTGCACGATAGAGATGAGTGAGGGACCTGGGGGCTGCTGTGAGCCCCACGCTCCACCCCATGGCTCACCTTGCCGGCGATGGGCTTGTGGCAGGCGGCACAGGCAGCGGCAGGAGCAGCGGTGATGCCCAGCTCCTGCAGGTCCCGCGTCAGGCCACCCAGCATGTGATCCAGCAAGTGTTCAGGGGCTGCCGGCGCTCCGGCTCCTTGCCCCACCGCTGCCAGCTGCTGGGATGGGGTAGGTGAGGGATGGGCTCCAGTCTACCCCATGCTGCCTGCCTCAGGATGCAGCTTACCTTGCTTTGCATCTGGCCCAGGTCAGCCAGGAGCTCATCCAGCTGCCGGGCGGCCGCTGTGGGTTCTGGTGAAGCAGGCAGTGCTTGTGGGGTCGGCATGGGGCTGCTGGGCACAGCAGAGAGCAATAGGTACTGCAGTTTCACCCCTAAGACTGAGGAGCATGTGGGACAGAGCATCTTCCCTTCACCCCAAAAAAGCTGCTCCGTCCCCATGAGCCATGGTAGGGGACATACTGGAAGCCCACCCCCTACCCTGGCAGCAGGCACAGCAGGATGTGACCCCCTCACCCCGGCTCACAGAAGGACTTGGTTTTTGTGGAGACATTGAGGAAGCCAGGTGAGTGTGTCTGAACTAAGGAAGGGGTAACCCCAATGGCTCTGCCATCTCATGGCTGTATTTTACCTGTACACAGATTCCAAACTTTTGCCTGAAGGCTGAGACCGAGGTGGCAGTGGCACCTGAAAGGACAAATCCCTGTGGCTGAGCCCCCAGCACCTTTCAGCACTCACCCAGCACTCCCACCGCTTTTGTGGGCTGAGCAGGGCCTTCCCAGGCCCCAGGCATTACCTTTGGGGCTGCTGATGTAAGTGGTTTCTGGTTGCTGGAAGCTGGGGGCTTGCCTGGAGGTGCGTCCTGCTGCCTGCTGCTGGGTGTCAGCAACATGTAGCTCGTTGGGGCCGGCTTGGAGCTCTGCTCCAGCTCTGCCAGCAATGCATCTGCACGGAGAGATGCAAATAGGAATCCGTTGCCCCTCTCTGTGCCCCAGGCGTAAGCTGCTTCTAGCTTACAAAGGGACATCTATCACCCTGTAGTTTTTTTAAGCACAACCCTGGCACAGGAAAGTTCACCCTTGGTGCTTCCTGTGCCTCAGAGTGGTGGGATATCCATATGGATAAAGCCCTTTCTACTTTCAGCTTGCCACTGTCAGGACAGGACATGGTGACAGGCACCCCTGGCAGCTGTCCCCTGGGCCCCATCTCCCTGCCTGGGGCCAGGGCACCCCTGTTCATGGTGCTGCCTTTCTCAGCAGGCTGTTGGGCCCCACTGTGCACAGACAAGATTGCACCGTCACTGAAGCCCGCTTCCTGCCTTTGAGCAGTCTCCATTTTTGGCAAAGTTCAACTGCCAGTCTGTCCCCCGAGATGAGGAGCAGCCCTGCTGCCGTCCCCTTTGTGCCACCCCCACCTGCCCAAGCAATGCAAGAAAGATGAAGCTCTCCAGCCCACCAGGACAGGACCCTGCAGCGAGCCTGGCCACGGGGCCGGTTCAGCCTTCCCCAGCACTAGAGCGACCCAGCTTACCTAAATCCTCCATCCTGCCTCTGCAGGGCAGTGCGAGCAGCAGGCTGGGCTGCACCAGTGCTCAGTTCCGCTCCCAGCCTTGCCTCCACCCCTGACACTAGGGTTCATCGCTGGGCTTCTTCCTTTGTGGGTTGCGCATCACATGCAACAAGTAACAAGTGATGAAGGCTGGGGCCAGAAAGGAAACAAAGTGAGCAGTGGCTGACAAAGGGGCTCCTGACTTGACAAGGAACCTGGCTTCCTTGTGGTCGTCTGCTGGGATCCACCAGCACTACATGGCAGAGATGGCATCCCCATGTGCAGCAGGCACCCCTGCATCCTCCCAGCACATCTGTGCCTTCATGGAGAGGGCACCCACACTGCATCCTTGCTAGCCCCCTTTGGATGGTTCCAAAGCTGCTGCAAAGCTATGGGAGCAAATGGTACTTGCCATTCTGGCAGAGCCCATGGCTCCCTACTACTTCTCCTGCAGTAACACATCTCATCCTGCTACAGCCTCATTCTGCCATCCCTCCCATGCCATGGGGATCTCTTTGATCTCCCTCCCACATTCCCTGGCATCACATCTCTGCTGCCACCTCCTCCATTTCAGCCCCAGCATTTGGAACCAGCAACCATTTGTAACCAGCTCAGCCACCGGTGCTGAATTAAGCCCTTTTGTACCAAGCTAGCACACCAAGGTTCATTTAGTTACTGACATTCTCCACGCTGGTGACAGCTCTTTTGTTACCGTCCCACAGCAAGGACATTCAGCAGGGTGCTGTCTCAGGAAAAGCTGCACGGGAGCCAAACCCCAGGCTCCACAGCTTGTTTCAGGGCAAGCATTACAAGAGCCACCCAAGGGCAAGAGGAGTGTGGGTGGTTACACTCTTACTGTGGCTCTGAAGCAGCGTGGTTGTCAGACACTTCCCTTTTTGAAAGAAAAGAACCTTCCTGTCTGCAGAAGGTCTTGGGTTATTTGTAGGCATCTCAGTGATTTGACTGTCCCCTCAGTGCAGATACGGCCTCTATTGCAATGAAGCACCTGAAGCTGTAATGTTATAAAACTCAGGCTCGGTGGATGCAGATGGCTGAGCCGTCCTGAGCTGAGCTGTATGTTCACAGTGCTTTAGCCAAGCCATTTTGATGAGTATTAAGCAATCTCATGCCCTGCCTACAAAGGAGCAATTAACCCAGAGAAGCTCTGGCATCAGGACGGGCACCTCCTCCCCACAGCTTGGGGTCTTGCCAGAAGGAATCAGGCTGTGGTTCTCCACAGTACAACAGGTTATTGAGCACTCTCACAGCCCCTCTGTCGACTGATAGACCGGAATTAAACGCCAAAGGCCAACCCAGGCCTGCTTAAGGCAGGACGGTTCGACACAACCCCGCAGGCAAGCGCGGCGGACAGCCCGCAGCCCCCAGCGTGCCCCGCGCCCACTTCCGGCCTGGCCGCGCCAGCGCCCAGCTGGACTACAATTCCCGGCAGGCCGAGCGCATGCGCGGAGACCCGACGGAAGTGGGCGGAGCTCATCGCGCTGGCCCCGCCCCCCTTGCGCCGGCCGCCATTTTGTCACCGACTTTCACCCGCCGCCCGACGGGGCGTTTTTTTTTTTCTTAAAGGAGAAGCGACAGCCCCCGACCAGGGCTCGCCACCGGGCCCCACCGCGCCCGCGAGCGGCGCCGCATCCCGTCTGCAGGGAGCGGCCGCGCGGGGCGAGGGCGAGAGAACGGTTCCCCCTGCCCGGTCCCGCCCGCCGGGCGAGGGGACTCGGGGGCAGCCGGAGGGGAGCGGGCAGCGGCGGCGGTAGGAAACCCGGCGAGGGCCGAGGACCGGGCGACGGCAGCCGGGCCGGGCGGGCGGCCGGGCGGGCCGGGCGACGGGACGGCAGAGCGGGAGCCGGAGGGGCCGCGCTCGGGCGGGCGGCACGGCGGGGCAGGCCGGAGGGGGGGGAGGGAAGGTGGAGGCGGGAGAGAGAGTGCGGCCGCGCCTGCGCGGGGAGCCGCACGCCGATTGGCCGCGCGGCAGAGTGGGGGCGGGCCCTGCCGCAAACAGAGCCTCTATTGGCTGGGCAGCGCGCGAGCGGCGGAGAAAGGCGGGAGGGCCGGGGGAGGCGGAGCCGCGGGGCGGGGAGTTCTCACTTGGGCCTTGCGGATTGGTGGGTGCCGGGAGGGGGCGGGGCGCTGGGCGGCCCCGCGTGAACGCGGAGGCCGGGCTGTGATTGGGTGAGAGCCCGGAGTGGGGCGGTGTGAGGTTTGTGGGGCGGGCGGGAGCGGCGCGGAGACGCTGCCCGTCCGCTCGCCGTCCCGATGCCGGCGGGCGCCGAGCAGCCGGCGGGCGCCGAGCAGCAGCAGGAGCAGCCGCAGCAACAGCAGCAGCAGCAACAGCCCGCCCAGGTTCCGCCGCCCGCGGCCGAGAAACCCGCGCCGCCATCGGGACGCCGTCGCCCGTCTGCAGCCGCCGCCGAGCAGGGGGAGGAGAGTGGCGGCGGCGGCGGCCGGGTGCTGAGGGGCGGCCGGGAGCGGAGCCGGGCCGCGGGGGGAGCCGCCGCCTCCCGCCGCCGTAAGGCCGAGTATCCCCGGCGCCGGCGGAGCAGCCCTGGGGCCCGACCCGCCGCCGCGGAGCAGCCCGCCGCCGAGGCGCCGCCCGCCGCCAGGAAGGGAGCGCCCCGTGCTGGGTAAGTGCGGCCTTCCCCGTCCTATGTCCCGGGCGGCCCCGCTCCGGTTCGGGGGTGCGGTGGGGTGGCTGTGTTCCGGGGCTGTGCCTGGGGTGGTCCCGCAGGTGCAGCGCGGAGCGTTGGGAGCTGGCTCTTACGCCCTACTTTTGTTTTCCCCAGGTGCACGGATAAAGCTGCTGGCAAAGGTAAGAGCCCGGTGTGTCCTGTGTGCTGTGCTAAAAGCGGGGCTCTCCCATGCAGGCAGCCACGTGTCTGCTGGAGCTTCCTTTAGGAGAAAGCCCCGGTGTGTGGGGGCATGCAGTTCCTTTCCAAGGTTTCTCTCAGAGCTGTGGAACTGCCGTAAGCTTCCTGTGCTGCTCACGTGTGTCCAACTTGCAAAAACTTTGTTCTTCCAAATAACCACTAGGGTATCCCTCTGCTAGCAGAAGTGCAGCCCGCTGCGCTGTGGTCTGCCAGCCCCTGAGCAGCTGCTGGGTCACCTGGACTCACATCTGCACTGGGCTGTTCAGAGTAGAGGTGTAGGTGTGCAGGGACACGTGCCAGACGTGTGCAGGTGGCATGCAGCTACTTACCTTCTCTGGCCTTGCGGTGTGTAGCAGTGGTGAATCTTGTGCCTTGCTGCTTCCGCAGGGATCATAGAATTGTTGAATATTCTGAGCTGGAAGTGACCCGTAAGGATCATCAAGTGCAACTTGTTGAGATTTTGGAGGGAGAGATAACAGTGTCTTAATGACTGCTATGAAGCAGGTCTTGGCAGCAGCATGATCAGTGGCAGAATATCTGTCCCTCCACATGATCTGGCACAGGAGAATTATAACAGGAAGAAACAACAAGGAATGTTGTGTTGCTGTGAGAATGGGTTCACTTTTCCTACTGGAGCTTTTCAGTTCTTGTTTGCAGTTTGTACCTAGAATTTGAAGTCTGCCCTTATAGTTCTATAAATCTTACAGCATTACAACTTTATTCCTCTTGGGTGGAATCTGTCACAATTCTAGCTGACAAGGCGTGGTTTTGCAGAACTAACTAAAGTGTGCTGAGCACAGAGCCCATGTGTGTTTACTGCTCGAGATGCTCTGCTCATCCTTTCATGCAGTAAAAACTTCATCCTCTTCATTCTTCTGGGTGAAAAAAAGTTGCTGCAACATATAACAGTGTCATGGCACTGCCACTTGGTGTGTGCAGGGAAGTGCTAACAACATATTTTGATGGTTCTTACCAGTGTTTTGAATACACCAAAGCATACAAAATGGGGTAGTCTCGTTCTTACCCCAGTTCTTGGGATGTTCTTGGAAGGGGCACATTTCACAGGTTTGCTGTCTCTCTGATGGAGTACCTTCTTAAAGGTGAGGCTCCAGGAGTCCTAACTGACCTTGGATGTGAGAGCGGAAGAAGGATTTATTACATTTCTTTTGTGTCCTTCTCTGGAAAGGCATGAAAACAGAGTGGTGAAGGTGCATTCCTTGCAGACAGGTCACGTGTGTGCAGGAGGGGAGCTCTACCCTGGTCCCCTCTTTTTGCCTTCAGCATAAAATGTGTGAAGGAGCCCAATGAGGTACGAGCAGACAGCAGTTCTCCCTGCATGGCAAGGCTTCTGGCAGTGAGGAGCCTCTGGATTCTGGCAGGTGAAGTGCTGTGTGTTGTTTCTAAAGGTCCATCTCTGTGGGTCTGATGGGGAGATTGCAGGAGGGTAAAGTCAATGCTGTGGTGTGCCACAGTGCGTGGTTGTTGCCATGCCCGTATGCATGAGAGCAGCTGTGCTGCCAGCCACAGCAGTTGTGTTTCCTGGCTGCTTAGTCACGCAATTGCAATATTTCCCTAATGTGTTTCTATAGAGATATTACTTTCAGAAGGAGTACATTTAATCTCAGCTTAAAAATGGACTTGTATAGTTGTGCAGTGTATGCCACATTGGGTGCTCTGTGACACGTGTGCTCTTGTGGAAATAATTCTCGATTCTGTTTGGCCTGAATAACTTGAATTATTGGAATATGTATTTTATGAACAAACTCCATGCCCTTCTATTACCAAACTGTGAGCTGAGCACTTCCTGTGGTTCTTTGAGCCATGGCAGCAGGTGGTGGAACCCACTTCTGAGATGTCGTGGTGGAGTATCAGAGAAAGATGACCCTTCCATGGCTGTGGCCATCCGCTTGTCTCTCCCCATGTATGGAGCAGCGTGGCCACCGTGTCATCGAGTCCTCAGGAGACGGCTGGAAGCTCTCTGAGGAAAGAGCTGTTGATGGGTGTTAAGGGAGTGCAGTTTGTTTGGATTTTCTGCTCTTGACAGCGAGTGTTTGGTACGTGCCCGGGACTTTGTTTTTCTTCAGTTGTTGGATGTGGGATGTGTGTTTACTGCTCCAGCCCTTGTCACCTCTCTATCAGTCACAGACGTGCTTATGGTGCTTACTGCTTCATTTCTTATATTGCTGGATGCAGCAGGTGCCCTGTTCTCGCAGAAGCCTCCCATAAAGAAAACGCTGTGGGGTCTCAGGGAGT